TTGATTAATGAAAAATTTATTTTTCTGAACGGTCCCAGAAATTGGAAAAGAAAATTTCTTTACAAAGAAATATAAAATTCGCAAAAGTTGCGTGAGGCAATGATAACATAATAATGAGATTTCATAAATTTTTTAAATTAGTTTTTGATATTAAAAAAAATTCTGTCATAAATAATTCAAGGAAATGCATCAAATTTAAATTTGTTCAAAAGATCTAAAACAGATATTAAAATTTAGCTTCAGTTTACTATCCTCTGTTTTCAAATTTTATATCAATTTTAGAAATTCTAGTGATAACTTTGTCCATTATCTAAAATTATATGTATCTTGCAAAAATTAAGTTATGGAAATCTTGTTTTAGAAGTTTTCCTCCTCCAGAAATATCTGCACAGCATTTGAAACAAATTTTTTCAGCGTCAGATGATTGTAATGTTGATGATTCGGAATCTGAATGTTCGCCAATTCGTTTGTCGAAAGTTGCCAAGCGAAGAATCAATTCTGCATTTGTTGCCATTGTTGATAATTGCATTATTACCTCGATGGAACATAAACAGTATGCATAAATTTAATTTTAATTTCAATTTTAATTAAATTTCCAGTTCATTGTGAGCTCTTCTAAACTCTTGTTACATTTTCAATTCTGTGAAAATTTACAACAAATAGTATATGAAAAAATTTGGTGCATCTTAAAATGATACCAAGAGTAACTAAAATTTATTTGTATCTGCAATCTTTTTGTTTAAATATTTTAAACGTGTTTTTGAAATTAAATTTCTTTTATTCATCGCATATACTTTATAGAATAATTGAATCCATATCAAATCCAGATTCTAAACAGACCAGTGCAACCTTATTAAATGAATCGAGTGATAGTGGTGCGATAACATTTTCTGATAGCGATTTAAAACCTTCACGAATAGGTAACTTTTGAAATTGCACTTTAAGTAATACAAATCGAACAAAAAAAAAACAATATAAAACTTTTATTTGAGATTCAACCGTTATTCCAATCTCTTCCAATTTAAACAATAAGTATTTTATTAAGTCATGATGAAGACGAAAATGATAATTATAAAAACAGCCGTCTATAGTACTAATCTTTGAATAAGTCATTTATCTATCATTTTATTCAAAATTATTTATTTTAGAGATTACTGAAGATAATCATCCATTTTATCGAACAACAAGCATTGAAAATATCATTAATGAACAACAGCCGTTGTTGGAATCATATTCCAGCCATGATTTTGAGTACATTTTCATGCCTAAGGTTAGAATTTTATGGTCTTAATTATATTTGTACCTTCTCGATCAATTATCTCAATCCTCTCGTTTATAGCTCTTCAAATCAATTCATTTTAGTTATGCTACTGCTGCAATAGAAATTTATAGAGATTTTTTTGAAGTTTTTGAAATCATTTCCAGGAAATGAATCCGAAATGTTTTGATGTGTTGAAAGATATTTTAATGCTAGAAAGGACAGCTGTCTTCGATTTGAAAATTCTTACAGAGGTTATTTATTTATTATGCATCTCTTATTTTGTCCTTCATAAAGTTTCAAACAGATAAATTTGTTTGAAGGTCAAGAATGTTCATCTTTTTATTGCCTTAGTAAATACATGATTTCTATGTTCGCGTAGTGAAATCAGATGATGAATAATAACTGATTGAAATTAAAATGATCCAAACGAATACTAACTTCTCATATACAAATATTTATCTTCATTAGATAAGCATTCAGAAAAAATGTTTAAAACATATCGGAAACTGTCATCTCAGCTTCTATTCATGGATGAAATCCATGCCAACTATGAAATCCTTTGTGAAATTTCTGTATTTCAGGACTTTTATCAACTAATACCGGAAAAAGCATTATCATGTGGAAGAGCATTAATGGATTTATTTGTTAATTTGAAATCTCTTCAACGATTTCATGATGATCATCTTAACACTTTGGAGATTATCGCTAAAAATTGGTAATTTTTTTTCCATTTTTCATTTTTTTCAGGCACTTAATTTCTTATTTTTTTAGAAAGAGAAAAATTCCGAATTTAAAATTGAAAACTTCACAATTTCAACTGAAAGATTTTTGCACCGTATTCATCCGTAATTTGAATTTCTTTGAGGAAAAAGAAATCGTTTGTAAAAGGAAACTGTGTAGCTCAGTAATGTCTTACAAATGTTTTAAAAAAAAATTTAGGGCGGATTGTTTAAGAAATGCTAATGCGGAACGACCGCGGGTGGGTGATATTCTGTTATGCTCAGTGCATAATGCTTTGCAATATTATCGGTTAGTTTACTTCATTTAACACATTTTCACTTTCAGTAAAATTTTTTTTCTCATCAATTATTCCACAGGTATGTATTTTTTAAGCTGATAAGAAAAATGTTGAAATTTATTCATCAGATATGTTAGTAATTAAACAATCCCAATGCGCATTTATAATGTTGGTGACAGACACCACCGTTACTTTTACTTATTTTCTCCTTCTGTTTACTTTTTTTTACTATCAGCAGTAAATATTCTTCTAAAACTTTTGAGTTTAAGCGGATTTATTTCACGATCTGATTCGTATATTACAATGATAACATATTTAGAATCTTTAAAATTTTCAAACAATTTTTATCTAAAAAAATTTGAAGCAAAAAATCTTATACTTTTACCAAATCTTACATTTTTACCAAAAAAAAAAAAAATCACTGAAATTTGGGAAAAAAAGTCAGAAAAGAATTTCTCAATAGTACTGTGCAATGTTTGTTATTTCAATGATATTTAAACTTCTAAAATCTCTTTCATTCTCGATAGTTTACATATAGCCTGGTCGAGTGTGGAAGAAATTAGTAATAGTTGATGATTATGTACCAATCAATAATTATATCATCATTTACAGGGAATTTGTGCAAAACTCTCCAATTTATCTGGCAGCTATTGATGAATTAACTCGTGTCAATAGCGCTTTTGCTAATTCTCTCATTAAGCTGCAAATGAGAAATTCCTACAGTTGTAGCATTAATTTTTTGATGTTAAAAGTGATACATCGAATGATTGTATGGCAAACTGTAAGGTTTCCAAATAAATTTTGCATGTTTATTGCCTATGCCCAAAGAAAATAATGTTGACATGTCATTTTTACAATAACACAACTGGACTGCAGATCAAAGTTTACTAGCAAATTTTAGGAATCGTGATTAATGATAAAAATTTAGTTACTTGGACGAATGGTTGCCGCACTTTTAGAAGAGAGCGATGGTTCTGAGATAGCGCCACAATTAAGTAGCTGTCGAATTGCTGTGGAAAAGGTTGATAATATTTATTAATATTCAATTTTACTAGCTAATAATAATAGTGTCCAATTATTTTATTGTATTATTCTTCTTGCATTGACGTAATTCTACATGACGGACTTCCTGAAAGTCCGTCATGTAGAA